TAATGTGTACTGAATAACTATTCGGTAGTGCTGTGAATACAGAGGATAAATAATGGCTTTACTAAATGAAGTTATGTTTTAGCAGATATGTTGCAGGTCTAATTTGTATCTAAATTAAACCATGGGTCCACATAAGAATGTTAGAACTAGGAGCAGAAGTCGATAATTCAGCTTCTCAAGGCTGCTTTGCCATGTGATACAATCGTGGCTAATCTCATTTCAGCCTCAACTCCACTTTCCTGCCTGCTCTCTACAACCCTTCAACCCATTACTCATTAAAAATCTGTCTGTCTCCTCCTTAAATTTACTCAATGTCCCAGCATCCACCAAACTCTGGGGTAGTGAATTCCATAAATTCATGATTTTGAGAGGAATAATTTCTCATCATTTCTGTTTTAAATCTGCCACCCCTTATCCTAAAATGATGAAGTCATGTCCTAAATTGCCCCACATGAGAAAACATCCTTTCAATGTCTACTTCGTCAATCCCCTTTAACATGTTATATACCTCAATTAGATCTCTCTCGTTCATCTAAACTCCACAGGGTATAGGCCTAAACTGCTCAATTTCTCTTCATAAGACAAACCTGTCATCTCTGGAATCAATCTAGTGAATTTCCTCCGAACAACTGCATCCCTCCTCAAGTAAGGGCGCAGATATTATCCGCAATAGTCCAGGTAGGGCCTTACTAATGCCTTGAATAGTTGCAATAATACTTCCCTACCTTTTATACTTTATTTATTCAGCAATAAAAGTCAACATTCCACTTGCTTTCCTTATTAGCTGTTGTACCTGCTTACTAGTTTTCTATGATTCATGCACGAAGACACCCAGATCCCTCTGCATTGAATTACACTGAAGTTTCTGCCCATTTAGGTAATAAATTGCCTTTATATTGCTTCACATTGTCCAACTATGATTGGAAATCTTCTTTCTGACCCCAATCAGCCAAAATTCATACATTTACCTTTCTGTGATTTTTCTGAGTGACCTTCTGAGAAGGATATTTCAGAACTGACTCATTGCAGCAAAAGTTGGACAGAGCAGCACAGAGAATGTGAGCAGAAGCCACGCCATCTTTTTATGGTATTAGTTGCAGCATTCCACTAAGTAAAGAGTGTAAATGCCCCAAATGTTCCATGAGGAGCTGTGGAGAAAAGATGATGTGGGAAGGGATCATATTGTGGTTCAGGGAATAGAGTGGCAGGTGTGTGAACTATATTGGTTGCAGAAGAGTAAGTGGGTCACAAGGGTCTATCAGGTCATCAGTCAGTTTGGGTAGTTTTGGGGGTGGGGGTGGGGGTGAGAGTGAGGGAAGGGAGTCAGGTTGCAGTCTGTTAGGTGGGGCCAGGGTCGGGTTACATTAGTTCAGGGGCAAAGTCAGTTGGGTCTGGAGAGAGTTGGGATTTAGCAGCATAGTCAAGAGTTCAAGGAGAGGTGGTCGGGGAATTGCCAGCGGTCAGTAGAGGCAGGTGTCAGCGTCAGTAATGGGAGGGTGGGGGGCATGTCAATTCTGTATTTATCTAGGAACTTGACTAAGTCTTTTTCTGTGTAATGTTACCTGGGTAACTGTCCAGGTCAGTATTTTGGAATCCTCAGAAGCCCCTACTTCTAACTCAGAGATGGAAACTTTCTCAGAGTCTGCAGGAGCAAGGGAATTGTGCATCTGAAATTCAGACTTCTTGGGAAATTTCCATGGAGTCCTTGGGACATCTGAGGGATTCCATCGCAAATGTTGCAAGGGTGATGCTACAAATTTTCTCAACATTAACAGTTGAAGTTAAGAATTCCAAAGATTCACAACCTTTCAATGAAGTCATTTTTCCTCATCCTGATCCTCACTGCCTGCAATGAACGTAAGACCTGGTAAGAGAGAAGTCTTTTTTTTTTTCTCTCTGATCTGTTCCTCACGCCCAGTAATGAAACCAGACTACAGAGGAAACTTTTTTTTCATAACACTTTTTGAAAACTACTGTTCCTTCTGGTTGGTAGTATTTGACCTTGAACTCAGCCCTTCCAGTTTGTGCCTCATTTCTACATACTGTGCAATTAGATCATCTCATGTCTTGGACCCAGTTTTAGCATTACCCCCTGACAATTACACTTGATCTTTCAGTGCGATACAAGTGATGATTAACATCAAAAGAACTTTTCCTATTTTCATTAGGATAAATTCTGGTATAATGGACCTGGCAAGATTGAGTTTATGTGCTTTGATTTACTCTCTGATAGCTTTGTTGGCACTTCTGACTTGAGTTAGAATTTCTGTCTGTTCAAAATGTGCAGACAATAAACAGCAGTAAAGCTCCACGCAATTCTACAATTTAATAACGCTTATCCATGAAAATTTATAGCAAATCAGTTTTGCAGATGCTAAATGACAGGAAGGACATTTAGCAGTGTGAAAATCAAAATAATAAGGATAACAGGTTGAGGATTGAGGATGCCTGGATTTTGCTGCACCTATCATTCTATTGTCCTGTTTTACAGTAGCTATGACTGACTTCCCATATACGAAACAATTTTTCCCTCTTGGCATGCACGCAAATAGCTGATGCTTACAGAATTTTACAGCGCTTTGGGAGACCATTTGACTCAACATGCTTGTGATGATTCTTTGAAAGAACTATCCAAATGTTCCACTTACCTGCTTGTTCCCCACAGCCACATTTTTCATCTTCAAGTATTCCCTATCGTGAGTTAATACTTAATCTGCTTTCACTCCTCTTTCAGGCCAGGTGTTCCAGAATTTCATGACTTGGAGGAAAAATTATCCTCATCACTGCTGGTTCTTTTGCTAATTGCTTCAAATGTCCTCAAGTTACTGACCACCCCACCAGTGAAAACAGTGTTTCCTTGTTAACTTGATCAAAGTTTTAGAAGCATGTGGGCAGAATGGAAGTAAAAAGTAGGGCAGCTGCTTTTGATTATGCCCGTTCTTTTTGTAAAAGTAAGATGCAATTTACAGGTAAAGCTATTAGTGCCGTAGATTTGCATGGAACAAAGTCCAGATCTGTTATGAATGTGCTGTCATTTAATCTGTGGTTACTTTTTATGCACCTGAATGAGCTTTATATTTATCCTTAATAAAGATCTCTGTTCCCTAGACCCGGAGTGAAGCTGCCATGACGGTTTTAAGTGGGCATGTGGTCGTGTGTATATTTGGGGATATGAACTCTGCTTTGGTTGGTTTGCGCAACTTAGTGATGCCTTTACGAGCCAGCAATTTCCATTATCACGAACTGAAGCACATTGTTTTTGTTGGGACGCTGGAGTACCTAACCAGAGAATGGGAGACGCTTCACAACTTCCCCAAAGTATCAATATTGCCGGTGAGTTCTATCAACCTCAGATTTCTGAAAAATCTCCACTGAGCTTGTAAAAGGAGAACCAAATATAACAGTTTGTCACTCTGGTTCAGCCTTAAAACAGATCAAAAGCCACACCCAAGTACAACTGGTAATGTAGGCCCTTGAATTCCATTATGTGAAAGAACGTGTTTTTGTTTTGTCATCAATTTAGTTGAGCGGTGAATTTCATCACCTTGTTGGTAATTCAGAGTGAAAGCATCAGAAGTTACACTTAGAGAAAAACATTTTCTAAAAAGTCCCTGTTACAGAAGACAGTGTTAGGAGACCTCTCAGTCATTTAGTTCTTGTGTTTTTGTGACAGGTTTTTGGTAGCTTTTTGCCATGCATAAAGCAAGTTTCCTGGTGTCTGATAAGAATGTAGAAACACAGGAACTGGAGTAGACCATTCAGTCCATTGAGGCTGACCTGCCTTTCAAGATAGTTATGGCTGATTGAACACATCAGTGCCTTTTATCCACCGATTCCTATAACCCTGTACCACCACTAGAATCAGAAATCTATCATCAAGTCAGAGATGTCTAAAGCACAGAAAAAGGCCGTTTGGCCCATCGAGTCTGCGCCCGTCAAAAACAAGCACATAACTATTGTCATCCCACTTTCCAGCACTTGGCTCATCGCCTGTATGCCTTGGCATTGCAAGTGCACTCTAAAAACTTGTAAAATGTTATGAGGGTTTCTGTCTCTAACACCCGACAGGCAGTGAATTCCAGATTCCCACCACCCTCCGAGTGAAAAAGGTTTTCCTCACATCCCCTGTTAACCTCCTGCCCCTTACCTTAAATCTACACTCCCAGTCATTAATCCCTCCACCAGGGGGAAAAGTTTCTTCCTGTCGACCTTCACTATGCCCCTCATAATTTTATACATCTGAATCATGTCTCCGTTTAGTCCCCTTTGTTCCAAGGAAAAGAGTCCCAGACTATCCAATCTTTCTTCAAAGCGAAAACTCTCCAGTCAGGCAAATCTCCTGTGCACCCCTTCAGCGTAATTGCATCCCTCCTGTAATGTGGATTCCAGTACTGTACACAGTACTCTAATTGTGACCTAGCCAAGATGTTATACAGTTCCATAACCTCCCTGCTCTTCAACTCTATCCCTCGTCTAATAGAAGCATGTACCTTATATGTTTTGTTAACCACTTTATCTATCTCTCTCGTTACTTTCAGGGACCGGTGGACATGCTCCTTAGTGCTTCCCAAAATCCAACTGTTTATTATGTATTCCCTTGCCTTGTTTGTCCTACCTAAGTGCATCACCTCTCACTTACACAGACTGAGTTCCATTTGCCACTGATTAGCCCCTTTATATCCTCCTGTAATCTAAGGTTGTCATCCTCACTTTTTACAACCCCACCAAATTTCGTTACCATCCATAAACTTATTGATCAATCTTCTTACATTCAAGTCTAAATTATTTATATACACCACAGACAGCAAGGGGCCCATCACCGCAGAATCCCACTGGAGTCAGGCTTCCAGTCACAAAAACACTCCTCAAACATCACCCACTACTTCCTGCCATTCAGCCAATTCTGGATCCAACTAATAATCTCTACCTTAAACATTCCCAAAAACCGAGTTTCCACAGCCCTCTGTGGTAGAGAATTCCAAAGGTTCACAATCATCTGAGTAAAAACTAATAAGTGACATCCTCTTTATTTTTAAATTGTGCCCCAAGTTCTAGACTCCGCAACCAGGGAAAACATCTTACCTGCACCCACACTGTCTGTCCCTTTAAGTATTTTGTAAATTTCGATAAGATCATTCTTCCAAATGCAGGCCCACTTTGCCCAACCTGTCATCATAGATTAGTCCCTTCTCCATATTATGTGCTTTTAGTAAGACATCTGGTCAGTTCACAGTGACTTCAAGGACCTACAGCTCACAGTAACCTATACATTATATTAAGTAGGCCAATCCTGGATTTTGACCTTACAATAAATAAAGAGCAACAATATTTGCCCAAGTCAGAATCACCTGTGACTTGCAATGAAGCTTGGAGTTGGTAGAATTTCCATGATATTTCTGTTCTAATGCTCCTCCTGATTGAGGTCGCAGGGCTTGATAGGTGCTGTGAAACTAAAATTGGTGAGTTCCAGCAGTACATACCGTATATAGTACACACTGGAGCCACAATGCAATGGAAGTGTTTTGCTGAAGAAGTTATAAACAAGTTGGTTACCTCTTTTATTTAAATTCTAGTCAACCCCTTGCAGTATCATTCTGAACGTTAGTACCAAAGATTCCCCAATTCAAAGAGTCCCACCCTAATTATTACTGATCCCACTAACTAAGCAGTGAGGAGCTCTCAAACTGCACATAGGTCAGCACAGTTTTTGACGTAGGCTGAGAAAAGATTCATTCTTTCTGCCCAACTCCCTCTGTCTTTCCACGCACTGTAGTGTGCTGAGTGTCTCTCCATAACAAATATGTGTCTGAAGCAGTTACGGAATAGTAAACAATTGGGATTCAGCTACCAGCTGAAGTTGGAGAATATCAAGTAATTATTTTCAAGGCCCTTCAGTGTAATGTTCCCAATAATACACTCAAAAGAATTATCAGAAGGAAGAAACAGACCAGTGGCAGAAGAGAGAATAAGCATTCGTGATTATATGTCCTAATTAGGGTCAGCAAAGGACAACAAGGGCCAAAGCCCACAAACAAGAGGCAGCAGGTCTCCCTTGCTGCTTATCCCAATGGACCCAAGGGACCAAAAACAAAATGCTTCAGCCCTAAAATCCAGTCCTTCTTCACAAACATGCAAATAAACCCTAAAGCTCCTGCATGAACCAGATAATCTAATATACACCACACACACATGTATATGAGTGCAAATTCTTCAAGATACAATTTAAAACATCTTCCATGATATTAGAAATATTTTCTTTATTTAGAGATTGTACTGTTGATAATGGTGTAGCTTCCAACGGAGTTATGGTTCAGATGGCCTCCTACTGAGGCCCCCAGGCTCTCAAATTGTCATTTTCAACCATTTTGACTCACTTCACATGATATCAAGGAATGGCTGAAGGCCTCGAATACTGTAGTATCTATGAGCCCAGATAACATTCCAGAATACTACTGAAGACTTATGCTTCAGGACCAGTTACATCCTTAGCCAAGCTGTCCCAGTACAGCATGAATCACTGGCGTCTACACCCAACAAAGTGGAAAATTGCCCAGCTGTGTCCTGTCCATAAAAAACAGGACAGGTGCAAATGAGCTAATTTCTGCTCCGTCAGTCTACGCTCCATTTTCGGCAAAATGACGAAGGTAGGTCGTTGACCTACCAATCAGTGCTTGCTTAGCGATAACCTGCTCACAGATGCTCAGTTTGGCTTCCACCCAACTCCTGACCTCATTGCAGCCATGGCCCACACATCAACATGATCTGAACTCCAGAGATGTGGAGAGATGACTGCCCTTGAGATCAAGGCAGGATTTGGCCAATTATGGCATCAAAGATTCCCAACAAAGTTGAAGTCAATGAGGATTAAGGGGGAAAGTATCTGCTGGTTGGAGTCATACCCTAGCTCAAGCGAAAATGGTTGTGGTTGTTGGAGGTCAAACATCTCAGCTCCAGTTTATCATTGCAAAAGTTCCTCAGGGGTGTGCCCTAGGCTGTACCATCTTCAGCTGTCTCATCAATGATCTTCCCTCCATCATAAGGTCAGAAGTAGGGATTTTTGCTGATAATTGCACATGATAAGTACAGTTTGCGTCTCTGCAGATACTAAAGGAGTCTGTGGACTGATAAATGGCAAGTATCATTTCCACCACACAAGTGCCAGGCAATGACTGACTGTAACATGAGAGAATTTAACCATTGCCTCTTGATTTTCAAATGGTAATAGCTTTGTTGAATCACCTGCTATCGACATTATAGGGGTTACCATTGACCAGAAACTAAACTGGACCAGCCATATAAATGCTGTGGAAGCTGTGGTTGGTTTGCTCACCGAGCTGGTTCATTAGTTTGGAGATGTTTCATTACCCTGCTGGATAACATCATCAGTGCAGACTCTGATGAAGCGCTGTTGTGTTTTCCCACTTGTTATTTAAACTCTGGGGTCTGTTGGAGTTGATGTACCAGAAATGAGGTAATCAACTCCAACAGACCCCAGAGTTTAAATAACAAGCGGGAAAACACAACAACGCTTCATCGGAGGCTGCAGTGATGATGTTACCCAGCAGGGTAATGAAATGTCTACAAACTAATGAACCAGCTCGGTGAGTGAACCAACCACAGCATCCACGAACCGAGCTACAAAGCTACTCAAGAATATTAAATACTGTGGTACACAAGCAGGTCAGACAATAGGAATTCTGAGCAAGTAACTCACCTCCTGTATCTCCAGTGCCTGTTCACCATCTACAAGGCAGAAGTCAGAAGTGTAATGGAATACTTTCCACTTGTCTGCATAGTGCAGCTCCAACAACACTCAAAAGATTGAAACTACCAAGGACAAGGCATCTCATCTGGTACACCATCCACCACCTTAAACATTCACTCCCTTCACTACCTATGCCCACTAATGACTGTGTGTACCATTTACAAGATGCACTGCAGTAATGGCTCCTTCGACAACACCTTATGTAACTTATGCATGTCAACACCACCATCTGCAGGTTTCCCTCCAACCCACACATCCATTCTGTCTTTCAACTGTATTGCTATTCCTTCATAGTCGCTGGATCAAAATCCTGGAACATCCTGACAGCATTGTAGGTGTCCGTACTCCACGAGAATTGCAATGGTTCAGAAGCGAGCTCACCACCACTTCTTCCAGGGCAATTAGAAATGTTAGCTGTGATGCTCACATCCTGTGAATGAGTTTTTTTAAAAAAGCACGTATAACATATCCTGCAGTGCAAGTACCACATCAATGTACTAGCAAAGGCAAGTGTGCACAAATAACTGCCATTGTTTTGGCTCCTTCACTTTCTTCACCCTTCGAAGGATATCCAGATACCGCAAGTGGCTATTGACATTTTATCGCAATGATGAGCGGCCTGGCATTTAATTCACGCATTTTGAATGCCAGAGTTTGCCGGTTAAAAAAGATTACCTACAGTTATTGACTTGGCATCAATGACTCAGATGTAGAAAGTTGGCAATGTGCCTGTCTCTTATTTGCTTTTAATGGCTTCAGCGAGTATAAACAATGAGTTGCCATCAGCACCATCTACCCTTTCAGATAAGTGCACATCTCCAATTCCCCAGCACATAGTTACATTGGTTTAATGTTGGAGTATAAAAGACTACTTGTTAAGTATTGTCCCATAGCTGCAGTCTTGATCTTTAATTTGTTTTTCTATTTTTTATTCGCTGAAGGGTACGCCGTTATGTCGAGCTGATTTAAGGGCTGTCAACATCAACCTCTGCGACATGTGTGTTATTCTATCAGCCAATCAGAACAATATCGACGATTGTTCGCTGCAGGACAAAGAATGCATCTTGGCGTCACTCAACATCAAATCTATGCAGTTTGATGACAGCATAGGGGTCTTGCAGGCTAATTCCCAAGGTAAGGACTGCCCTATAATACTTCCCTGCTATGCCTTGAGGGGACAGGAGCTGGCAAAAAGAATATCCCTCACTCAGTAATTCAAACAGTCTCAGATTGGTATGTTTGACAATAAGGGCAACTGACTGCAATGATGTTTTAAACAGGACGAAGATAAACAGCAATGGAAAAGAATAGCTTTTGGATTGATGGGGAATTTTTAAATGGGCTGAGCCTTCTATAGCAAGGGTCCAATTAAACTTAAGTGTTTCAAAGGATTCATATTTATAGCTTGTGTGTGGCTGTTTTTGGGACTGTTTGAGAGGAAGGAACAAAAAAAATGACAAAGAGATACTTTTCTTAATATATATGATAATTTCTCTTGCAACAATTGTCTTTTTTCACTTTCCTCAAAATTTCATTGAAGCTCAGAAGGTCAAGGCATATGGTAACTTGGACATTTTCAACTCCGAAGTCTAGAATTTGGAGAAGGCTTCATATCTACTTTGTTTAGCTCAGAAAGACGCCATTATTGATTAAACATTGAAATGCACAGTGTGTTTTATTTACCAAACTATGACTAACCACTCTTTAACGCTGGTTCTGTTTAAGGCCTCAACATCTCACACGTCGACCTCGCTGGGCTATCTGATGATAGAATGAGGCGGGGAACAGTTTGACCTCGTAAAATGTTTTGTTGGAAAAGATTTAGATTCTATCCATTGTCAGATTGTACAGTTGTTTATGTAGTAATGTACCTCTTGTGGAAATATTTTACGCACTACTATCTGGGGACATAAACATATTAGAAACCGTTGATATGTTTCTGTCTCATTTGGGACTTAAAAGCTGACTACCTTCTTGAAAATGAGAAATGATGTGGGACCTGTAAAATCAGCAAATATATGCTCGATAACATTTACATATAGGTGCGGAAAGCAATTATTTACTGCTTCTTAGCCCCTGTTATAAATATTTTAATGTCTCTCTTTGCCTTAAGACATTGAATTGCTTTAAGAGTGTTCCAACTTGGGTTCTGTACAGCAATCTGTAGTACTTTTATGAATCTGAGAAGAATATTATGATTTAATTAAAATGTACGAGGAGATCAATGTTTGTTCCAACCGAATGTAATGATTTATATAGATGACTATGCATTGCAGCAGTTGCTTGGCAACAGGTAGAAAATCAACCATTGCTTAAGGCTGTTTATAAAATTACTGAAATCGATTTGCAACAATTGCTAAATAACACTCACCAACTTCAAGTAGTGGTATTAGAGAGCTAAAAGAGCAATAGATAATAACACCGTTTAAATGATTGTACTTCTGAAATATTTATAAAAGCACTTTATACCTCCTTTGAGACTTTTAAAATGTTCTGAGTCTTTAATGCTGGACTGGTTGTTCCATGTCTGTTCTTAATTTTCCTCAGAATAGATTGAAAAGCTCTCTTGCCAGTAAGACATTTGACGTGAATATAGTATATTTTAAAAGTCTCTGGAATAGATTTAGAGGTCTATCATTATTACAGTAATTGTGTTTGGTGCCTTATTAGAATGACTTTTGGCCCTTTGATGTTTTCTTAAGTGGCTCAGCAATCTTAATTAAATGAGGCTGCAATGGCTACAAGAATGGCATTTAAACTGCCTGCTTGCAAATAAAAATTAAATTTTCTAATTTTAATATTTTACACACCTTTAGCATGACATGACTAGCCACCCTGCTGGTTTATGTTTACTAATTGCAAATTCAAAGCAGTAACGCAATGCTAGTAAACCGCATAACCCTTAAAATTCTAATGAGACTACAAGGACTGCATCTGATGCTATTGTTTAAGTGGGTAATGGTTCCAGTAATGTACTAATTGCAGGCTGAAGTACATTAGCCCGGTATCTACATTTAGGATTTTTTTCACAGTATGGCCTTAAGGGAATTGTTCAGAAAGACATTACCTTCAAATTCCTTTCATTTACATTTATTGCTCACTGTACCAAACCTAGATAACCATTTTTTTTACAGTTCAGTCGCATGAGTTGTTAAAAAAAAAATCTTTGAACCTGCAGTGAGTTCTGTTAAAATGTGCCTTTTGTCTTCATTTACAAGAATATTTAATTGTTATTTTATGCAGAGGTCCAATTAAAAATCTGCCAGTGCTGTAGATAACTTGATTGTGGATGTTAGTTTGACTGAGTCTCACTCCCACTCATGCCGGAGAAAGTGTGTACCCCTTCTAGCCTTCTATTGCTGATTAAAAGTCCCTTCAGAACTTGTTATTGTTGCTACACAGTTGTCTTTGGGAATATAAAGTTCATTTCTCCGGTTGGATGTTATAATTTTATAATCAGTATGTTTCCCAGTGTTTTTCTAGATTCTGTACATACTGAGCCTTGCAAACCCAAGAGGTTCCAGATTTGATGCCAGCTAGGCAGTGGTACAGTCTTTACAATTAGAATATGAAAAAAATGAGGAGACTCCTCTGAACCCCCTTCAAACCTCTTACTCCAGCTCTCTCAGACCAGCGTCTGAAAATATTGTCTTTATTATCTTGCCTGATAAGTTATTTCAGATGCTTATTAAATAAGAATTAGAATTTATTCAATGCATTGTTGCATCTGGAGCACAACTGAGTGGGCAATTTTTCAGACATCACAGCCCCCACCCAAAACAGACACTTGGTCCCTTAAGTGTGTAGGCAAAGGGCTTAACACCTGTTTTAGGACCCTTTCAGGAAATTATTTAGACTGGGTCATTTAGTCAGAGGCCCAATTGTGAGTCATTTCAAGGTTCTCTGTTTGGATATGCTTTGAGACCACATCACTGCCTATGCTTGAGAAATCAGCACCAATGGAATACTAGCCCTCTACCCACAGAGTTTAAATTCCTGAGGAAGAAAAAACTGGCTGCACTTCCTAGCAAAAGATGAAAGTTGTTACTTCTTCAAGTTCCCCCTTTGTCTTGTGAATCTGATATGTCTACAGACTAGTTGTCCAAAAGTGAATGTCTGTACAACGCAGTGTGTGGGCTCATATTAGTCACTTGAGCAAGGTGCCCACCAGCAGCCTGGAATTATGCCCCAGTAGGAATTAGAGAAGAACGAAAGAAGTCATGAAGGAACCACCAAGAATTGAAAGTTGACGAATGCTTACATGACTTAATTTCTTCCTTTCGCATTTTTAACTGTAAAATTAAATCATATTTAGAAAGTACCTTGCCAGAACACCAGATGAAACTATACTGCCAGTTTAGGAATAAACTGTCCCCTTATCTTTGCGAAGCATATGGGAACTGCCCACATTTGGCAGATAATAAGTGTTGCCCTCTGATGTTCTGCTTGCACCATGATCTTGTCATGAACTGTGCTAGAGCCAAAGCTAATACATTCCGCTGCTGGAATGACTACTTTTCATTAAACTTGCCCAAGCAACGAAGTGAATTAGGTTTTAATTAGCCTTTATATCAAGTTAAAAGTGGCAGGTTCTGATTTATGAGGCAGTTCACTTTTATTTTGCTTTCTGCAATTCAACACTACAATTACACATGCCGTGAATAAAAGTAGTAATGTGCACCCATTTGGACTTGAAAATAGAACACTACCAATCTTTCTTTAAACGTTGCATTCCATTTGGAGTTGGATTTCACTGTTCATCATCTTAGATCCTAAAAGGTTATATTGTGAAATTAAAATATGGAATTTTGTCAGAGAGACTATATTAAGTAGCATAAAGGTTATTATTTATTGTCATGGTGTGGGCTGCATTATTCAACTCCATTGCGAAGCAGTATCCATTTATTTTGTTCATGTACGTACCTGAATTTCTAGTTACGGAAACCCAGTGTAGGTCAGTGGGCATGGTGCAATGGGTGAACATCATGGTCTTTGAAAACGCAAAGCTTGGATTCATCAAGCCATCTGCCTGGGGAATTATAGTTGAACTCAGTTCTCACATGGTGTCCACATAATGATGAGGACATGAAATCCCAGCTAGATTTCCAGCTTCCTATCCCCTGAATGCTGAAGCCAATTTTCACATCACACTATTCCTAACCCTGTGAATCAGAACTAACTCAGTAGGTTCTTAAATCCAGACAGTGTGGACAAAAAGTGTACATTGTGACAGATATTCCCTTGGCATAAATGGCTAATCCTGTTTGGACATATTCCTGAAGCTGTTATAAAATCATCTTGCCTCCGTGTGCTGTGCCCCCTACACTCCTATTATTTGTCAGCCAGCATGCCCATGCACATGGTACACCATCTTCCCATGCCAATTTAAAATCATCGCCAGATTGATTCTTAATAGCAATGTAAACAGCCTTTTTCTTCCTACGTTTACTCATTCTAGAAGTAATGAACAAAAATGTTTTTAAAAAATTGAAATAATGACATTAGCTTGGATTTTTCAACCAGAATACAGCAGCTCATCAGTGTTCACATCAGTGCCCAAGAGGTTAACCTTTAAGTGCTGGCTACTCTGTTAATTTTCTGGAGGGTTCAACCCTACCACGTTATCTGATGGATAGATCAAAGACAGCTAGGAGTTTCAATACAAAATTTCTGCAAATGTGCGCACTAGTGCTGAAGCCACAAAGCAAAAGGCTAGTAGCATTTTGGGTTCTATAAGCAGAAACAGGAGAGTAAAAGACCAAAATGTAAATACATTATGCAAGGCCGCAACAGGGTTTTGATAGAAGTGTACAGACTTGAAACATTAACTCTTGTTTCTTTCTCCTCACATGCTGCTAGACCTGCTGAATGTCTCCAATATTTTCTAATTTTACTTCTGATTTTCTGCATCCACACAGATTTGTTTTTGTAATAGGCTCCAGTTAGGGTACTGTTTCTGCAGTAACTGGTTACTGAAAGGACATTAACACACAGAAACTAGATTGATGCTAGTAGTGGAAAGCTACAGTCATGATGAAACCTTGTCATATTGGAGCAGAATACTCCAATAGTTAATTTAATTGAAGTCTTTTTATATAAGGTTTTAATAATATAAAGAGAGGAAGAGATATTAG